CAGTGTGTGCATGCATCATTGCTTGTCCACCATCCTGTGTTTCTCTGTGTTTTCTTGGGCTAGACAGAGAACCTATCTGGAGTGTTCCTCAACTCTCATGAATGAATACTGAAAGTTTCCTCACAATGTTTCTGTAATCTTACATTTAGATTTGAGCAAAGGTGCTTTATGAATATATCTTTCAGGATTCCGATGTTATGCTAAATTTCATCGGAAGAGACGCGTGACCAGGAGAAGGGGCCGGTGTGTCGTCCCAGAGTCAGTCAGCAATGACCAAGGAGGCTTCATCACCATATGAAGATGAGAGAGGAATAAGCATGGAGAAGAAACATGTGACTATGTCAATACAACAGTACAACCATGACATTTCTAAAAAACTAAGTGCTTAAAGATGATCCCTTGCTGTCTTTTTTTTTTTTTTTTAAATCAAATCAATCTGCAAATGTTAGCTGATTGGACAAAAACATCTGGGCCTTTATATCAAAGTAGCAGCTAATTAAAAATCCTTTAATGTTTCATTATGGGATAATCTGTGTGTCCTGTCCCAGCAAGTCAGCATCTTTAAGCACCTGGTTTTACTCTAAAAATTTATTTTAAAAAGATTTCTACAACAAGACTCTTTACAAAATGTACCAAGCCCACTGGTTGTTTGAAAATGTCTTGCTGTTTTCATGTCATTTGATTGATCAAATTCAATCCGATTCACCAAGTTAAATTAGTAATTGTCACAGTTTTTAGATGTTGATTGACTTTGGTGTTGTCTGTCATGCAAAATTTGAGTTTGTTTTTAATTTTAGCAACAATCCTATACTGGATCCAATTGACTTACCTCTTGAAATACCTTTACAATACTGGTTTCATTTCTTTAGAGTTCAACGTCTGCAAGTTGGATTACTTTAAACCCAATAAACAATCACTCACTGGAGTACGTTTTAAAAACCTGGAATGTTTTTTTTTTTTTTTTTTTTTAGTTTGTGGCCAACATGTTGAGCAGGTTTACCATGTTAGTCATAAATACTATTTTTCAATTGGTCTGATAAATGAATATAAGGCTGATCTAAATGCCAAGGACGTTCTAAAAATTATGCCACAGCTCAAAGTTTCCTAATGGTACTTGAATAAACAATGATACTGTTTTACTTTTCAGTCTAATGTCATCCATGTCCTAATATTTCTTTTGTATTTATTCTGTATTTGCATATATTTGTCAATAATTTCTGTTTTTCACTTTTCATGATTAAACAGTTGCTAAGAAACTGTGTGTAATGTATCTTTTCCTATGTAGTGACAATGGATTTTTTTTAAAAATTGCTCACGAACAGAATTTCTTCAGTATCAGCTGCATATGCAAATTGGAAAAAACAAATCTGGATTTTCATATTTAAAAAGTTCTTGTTACATAATTGAACTGAACTGAAGTGCTACTGCTAAGACTGTACATCAAATTGAGGCTCACAAAATTATCATTTTATTTCTGATGCTCCCTCACTGTAATATTATGTATGTCAGTCACAAAGTGGATTTAAAAATGTCACTGTTTTATTAGAAGAATATAACTGTTATATCTTTTATGTCTTTGTTCAACAAAATGGCCCTTTAAAAGTGATCTGGTTCATTTGGTTCAACTACTAATCGTGTTCCCTTCCACAAGTCTTCCATGGAAATCTGAGTTACTTGAGATTATTGCAAATATTAGCAATTTAACGCAAGAACTATTGCTCTTCTGGGTTCAAAATATGCAACTGACTAACTTTTGACTTTAACTAGGACACTTTCTTTAACACATTTGTGTAACCTCATGCATGGCCTGTAGCAAAAAGAACTTATTGGCTATTCCTATGTCTTGCAAAATCCTCATACAGGGGAGAATTGTGGATTGCAAATATGTTAACGAGTTTATCTACCTTTTGAAGCCAGTTGGTTTTCATAGGTATTTATTTAGGGGTATCAGAGAAAAGAATGTTCAAAATTCTTGATGGTCTTATATCATTTCATTTCCACATTCCAGAATTATGTTACTTTGAATTGATCAATGAAAAGAAAAATAAAATCACAGCAGAATACTTTAATATTCTGACAAAATGTAAAAATTGTTCACTTAGGAGTCATACTTCTGTTGGGCACTATACTGTTGAAAAATTATGAGTCAGAAAACTATAGACTTTGAAGGGTATAGTCACCTCAAACATAACAATCAAATTATTGGAGTAAATTCAAGATGTAAAGAGATTTCTGCAGTAGAAAAACATTTAATCATATTTGAAATGTACTTATTTGAACAGCCTTTACTTTAAACCGTAGTTTCCCAGCTCAAGGTGAAAACATACTGAGGTGAAGTAGTAAAAAAGTATTTTACATAAAACTGTTCATCTTAACCTACATTTTTTTCAACAAATCAAGTAATAAGTATGACTAACATTAAAGGTTTTACCTGAGTAAAATATCCTCTGTTGCAACATTACGCTTTAAAACTCAAAATAGGCGTCACTCATTCAGCACAACGAGTTAAATATTAAACGTAATTTTACATGCAAGTTAATTTTACAAGAATATTTATGTGGTCAGCAACAACAGAGTCATGAGCTGTCATATGGTTTCAGAGGTGACCTGGGCCCCGGGGTCACAAAGGATGGTGCATAGACCATCTGCCTTGACTGCTGCACACAAAAGATCAACTCTATTTAGGTAAACAGGGCAGAGGCGACAGGACTGGGCCTGATTAAAACTACAGAAAAAGGTCAGCAGAAGTGCATATTACATTACCATTTTAAAGGTCTGCTGCTGATGCCCACATAATTCATGTTGAGGTTCAGGGTTGATCCTTTCCATCAATTAGCAAATGGAAAATGTTACAGTTTGCATATTACTTTAAAATATGACAGTTTACACAGATGCGTACATTTTTTGGTAGTGCAGTTTTAGAGAATGTTAAAGTTTAAACCACTATACATTGCTGACTTTCATCAGAGATAAAACAGCCACAATGTGATTTAGCTCACAGAATGAAGTATTATAGCTTTCCTTCAAGAGATGAAAACCCTTTGAATATTCATGGCTAGTCTTTACCTCACAGGAAAATTAAAAATCTGGAAACAAAAATCAACTATGGTGTGTTTGGCTTTACAAAACCAATTTAATTTAATCTTAACTTTTTCATAATGGAAGAAACTATTTCTATTGTCACTGCAGACTTTTACTCCTAAGGAAACAAAACAAACAAAAAATTGAACATTGAATTATTTTAATGTAATTTAGGACTTCATGTTCATACATGTGACTTTTTGTCCAACAATATTTTGCCAGTAACTTCAAACTAGAATACTCTACCATCTAAGGATTGCTATTAGGTTAATGTTGGGATTTTAAACTTTGACTTTATCGTTTTGTTTGAAACCGTTTTTTTTTGTTTGTTTGTTTGTTTGTTTGTTTTTTCTAGACTGAACAATGGACTTTTGGATCACTCATTTGTCAATTTGAGAGACGGAGATGATTATTTGACTGTTCATCTATCATTAATCATCCCTTCGGTAATTGTAAAAAAAAAAAACAAAGGAGGGGATAATGCATGTTTTTTATTTCTTTAAATATACAGTACATCTGAAAAGTGTGGCATGTTAATGTATTAACGTTTATGAAAGAACAAACAGCATGAAGATCAAAAGACACCAGAAAGGTCAGGTGTGTTGAAACTTAAAGCATAGTTATGTTGGAAAACCAATTTCCCAAGATTTATATAACTCACAAATATTGATCATTTTATCATACAAAAATGGGAAGAATATGGAAAACCTAGAAGCCTACCAACACATAGTTGTTAATCTAAGCAATTAACCAGCAGCCACAAGACTCTACATAACTCTGGATGAGTTGAAGAGATCCACCAATCAGGTGGGAGATTTTGCTGACAGGATAGCTATTTGTTTACCACTCCTATAACTGGGACCATCATGTTTTGGAGATTCTTTGAAGATGCTTTTCTTTAGCAGGGACAGATTTGATGGAAGATGGATGCAGTTTAGCACCGGGTAATGCTATCAGAAAAGCTTGAAGAGGCAGAAATTTAGTTGAGACCAGAGAGAAAGTTCAATTTCCATCTGAACACGACACTAAACTTATAGACAGAGTCACAATGGAATGATTTAGACTAAAGTACTTTCCAGGGTTACAAATGTTACATTATTATTCAAGGGTATGTTGTAAATGTTGAAATGGCAATAGCAGTTGCAATAAATCCATGTTTCCTTTCTGTCTTTCTCATCTGTTCTTCAATTACTCTCTGTGACCTTTAGCATATTTTGTGCTTTAATTTCTGTCAGATGACAGCGTATGCTGCAAAGAGGCATGATCCAACAAGCTACACATGGCATGCAAAGTGTCAACTCATGACACTAGGAATATATATTAATTTGCAATTATGGCATTCCAAAATGTAATTTGTTATATCAAAATTTTGAAGACAGATATTAGAAATATGTGTTAGACCTTGGGGAATGTTTAAAACCATGCATCTTTTCCTTTCCTTTCCCACGTATGTGCCACTTGGTGTTGATGTATAATTTTAAATTTCAATAAAAAGCATTTGGTTGGTTTACTTTTTTTTTTTTTTTTTTTTTTTTGCATTACAAATAGGTTCAAATTATTTATCTGCATTTTAGAAGACAGTTTGGCTTAAGCCATTAAAGCAGTTTTGTTTCCTGTTGCATTTTGCAGATGTCAACAGCGGTACATTCAGCTGAGTTGGTTCCTGTTTTGTTTTCACGCCAGGTTTCGTCACCTAATTAGCAAACCTGAACCACATCAGCGATTATAGTCCTTGGCATAAACACCCCTCTAGCGTTTTGCTTTCTGCATTTAATGTCCTTCAAGTCTGCAGTTAAACAGCAAGGTTATACCAGACTTTCTAAAGAAAAAAAAGATTTAAATACACACACACACATATATATATATATATATATATATATATATATATATATATATATATATAAAATAAATGTATCTATAAAAATTTAACCAATATTTAGTTTGAATATTATCATGTTCTGAGGTATTATAGGAGCTGCCAAGAATTGTATTCCTAAGAATTGCATAGCAAAGAAACATAAATGTTCCTATTTGCCATTTTAATTGGGAAGCAGACATGCTAGATTCCTGATCAATCATGGCGAACCTCTTTAAGAGACAGAAGTGAAGCTGTGACTGAAGCGGATTCTCCTGGGATCTGTAGTGGAAGCAGCAGGAAAAGGAGGAGGGGAGGGCATCACATGGGAAGCAGTCAGGCTGCTGTCACATGGTTTGTGTTTGCAAGTTCAGTTAAAGCGGAGGAGGAGTTTGCACAGAAGTTTGAGAAAGAGGAACAACTGCAGCATTTTTCATGTGGCCTTTCAACAAGTTGAAACACTGAACCATAAAGTGTGGAGGTGCTGCTTTTGATCAAAAAACTCAACATTATTATGGAAATCCCTGCAATAAACTTAAAGGTGAGTTTTTCAATTGTTGTCAATGGCTTATATTATAAAAATGTTGTGTTTTGACTAGTTTTAAGCAACGGCTAGCGTTAAATTTCATGTGTCACAGTTCTCATAGGTAATTCCACTGTGTGGCAACCAACTTCCCCTGATTAAGAAACAGCCAGGGATTTTGTTAAGACGGAAAAGAATCATGTTGAGAATAAATGCATTGTAGATTCTCACAGCTGGCAAATATGTAGTCAATTTTGACACTTCCTTGTGTTTAGCATCAGCACAAGTCATAACAGAAAAAGACTATGACAAAATTAAAGCTTTCAAGATCAGAAATTCTAATCTCATCTTTTTTTTTTTCTTATTCTGTCCGAGATGATTAAACATGTGAAAACGATATCTTTGAACCCAGTCAGATACAACTGATCACACATTTCAAATTTAGTCCTGGAATTCCCTGCTTATTGTAGCTGAAAACAGCATGCATGTAATTTTTCTTTTATTCTCAATTATTGAGGTGTTTTCTTCCTTATTAAATATTTTTTTAATTACCTGAATGCCTATAAAAGGGGAAAATCTTTAGGATGTTCTTCTCTGTTCCAGGCGATAGTGCTGGCACACTGGCTGCTTACTGTGTGGTGAGTGTGAGCTCTTGTTTTTTTTCATACATCTGAGGAATTTCTCTCATCTGAGCACACATACACACTTTCTCTCTTGTCTTAGCCTAACTCTTACACATACCACACTTGTGTATAAACTCCTGGAGAGTATGTCAAATGAGAATATTTTGTGAATTATATATTTTAAAAATAGTCTATTGTTTCAGGGGCAGCATGGGCCTTCTCTCATCTTATGCATGGAGTAACTTCAGTGTTTTAGCAGTTGGAGTGTGGGCGATTGCGCAGAGGGACTCCATTGATGCTGTTCTCATGGTGACTTACTTTTTTTTTTTCTCTTCTTCTTCTAAAAGTTGTCTTGCTATCATGTGACACATGCAGAAGTCTAACAATAGACCCTGCATATCCAAACTAACCAGTTTGGATGCTGAGGGGTTCTATGAATATCTCTTTGAAAGAATGTCCTTCCCTTCTCATTGAATGTCTGATCATTTCCAATTCAGTACATCACGGGGAGGAAATACTTTTCTTCTAATGTTCTGATGTTGAACTTTTGATTTAGGTTTTCTTTTTAGACTAATGAGCCGTATCTCTGTCCTCATACCTTATGTTGCCTCTTCAAAGTACATGCTTTCTCTGATGTTTTTTGTTGAAAATTATTTAACAAAGAATTCATAGATTTTTAACTGAAAGCAATGAGGACTTAATTAGATGTTCCCTTGTCCCAAACAAAATTATCCTCTGCTCTCTGGAGAATTAGAACAAATGCCACATTTATTCCCCAAACTTAGCTGCATTAGTTTAATTAAAAATTCATGCAGTAGATATTTCTTTTCTGACAAAGGGAATATTTTTCCCATTATTTTACCTAAGCTGTTCAAGGCAAAAATGACTTTCTCTGTGAATGAATCAGAAATAAATACTGAAATGTGACAATCTCATTGATCAAAGCAACATTCTGGGGTTTAGGTTACTAAAGCCAAGAAAAGACTTTCTAACCTCTGGATGTGGCAAAGTTTTCATTTCTGTAAACTCTTAGCAGAACTTTTGAAACTTTTTTTTTTTAAGTGAGATGGAACCATGGGAGAGTTGTACCCTGAATGCATCTTTAAGAAGGAAAACTGATGAGCAAGAAACTTTTAACCCAAGCCCTCATTCTGCAAAGTCAAGGTCATTTATTTAATCAGACAGCCAGTTATTAATTATGTCTTTTAAAATGCTACTTTAAGGGGTTTCTTTATTTAAAGTGAGGATTGCTGAGTTTGTAGAAAAGTGAAAACATTCTTTATAGTGGTTGAAGGCTAATAGTTCATCAAATGGTTCCCCCGTTTTAGCTGATTTCATTCAGAGTCAACAAAAACTGGTAGGCCATTATTTATTTAATCAAGAATTAAACTATTTTGACTTGGAAAGTAGAGCACACCACCCCAGTTTTAAAGTTCTTACACTGACTCTGTAGCTCAGAGAATGGATGTTAAGATGCTTCTGTTAGTTTACAAATTACTGAACTGCCTGGCACCAAAACACATTAAAGATCTGTTGTAGTATCAACCTTCCAGACCACTCGGGTTTTCTGGTTCTGCTCTGCATCCTCAGAACAAAACCAAACATGGAGAAGTCGCATTCAGTTCCACTAATCTGGAAACTGAAAACCAGTCGAAACACAAGTACCTTTAAATCAAACCCCAGCTGTTTAGATCTGCTTTTGATTCATAATAACTTGAACATTGATCATCAAATTTGATGTATTTTTGTATGAAATTTAATGTTTATTGCTTGTTTCATAATTGGTTTGTATTATGGTTTAAAGCATTTCGAACTGATTTGTTGCTGAGATGTGCTTAACTGAAGATATATATATATATTAGTTTTTAATAAAAAAACACAAACAAATGAACACAAATAACAGTTTGAAAATATATTATACCAATGTGACTCAACTACTACACTTGGAAGAGAAGCAACACTTTTTTTTTCAAAACATTTTTAGAAAAGCAATTTCTTAAAATTTTTGTTTTCTAAACTGATTCAAATCTGTAAATATTATTTCTGAGGATCCTGTTGTAATTAGTTTTGTGGCCTAATTTTGATTCTAATCTCTGTTATTCTGGGAGGAAAAAAGTTGGGATAAATTTGCAAGTTCAGAACCAAATGGCTCCATCAGCTTTAAACACCAGGCTTGCCATAAAAAGCAATTGAGCAGCTTACTGTTGTCCAAAATGTAACTCTATTTTTATTCATAATCAGCTGGACTGCTCATGTTGTTCCCTCACTCCTGTATCTTGGCTTGACTGATCAGAACATGGCACTCCTGGCTTTGTGTTTTCAGTTTTCAACTTTTGAAGAGCTACTCCATTAACCTGTTTTTTTTTTTATCCTGTTACAGTTTCTTATGGGACTGGCTGTCACGATACTGACCGACATTATCCATTTTGGGATCTTTTATCCACCGCAGCTACTTGTGGCTGTATCTGGCTTTTCTGCTGGCATGGCCATCCTCAGCCTGCTGCTTAAACCCGTTTCCTGTTTCTTTGTCTACCAAATGTACCGTGAACGAGGAGGAGATTACAACGTCAACTTCGGTAAGAACCAAAGTTAAATATGCTGATAGAATGGAAAAATGAGAAACCATTTGACAATAACTAAATTTTAAATGCTTCTAAACATATTTGCAGTTTTTGTATTGGTTCAAATTTTAAACAACTCCAACTCTTCTTACCTTTTTTTTCTTTCTTTTTTTTTTTACTTTTGCTCCGTTCAACTGAAAACTGCTCTTTGTGGGAAAACTTTGCTTCAAACAACCAGTAAAGTCCACATCTTGCTTATTAGTTACAACCGCATGACATTTTTTCTTTGCGCTGAGATGGCCGAGCTGCAGCTCTACTCGGCCAAAAGCACCTTCCCTTCGAGTTGCTCATAAATCTGAGTCACTTTGAAAATGGGATTGTACTTCATGAACAAACATAAGGCCATCACAGAGGGTGAAATTAACTATCTATATTCTGAACAGAAATGGCTCAGTCCTGATTCACCAAAAAGGATTTGTGTCATTATGAGTGTCGAGTTAATTTCTTTTTTTCTGACAAAGAAACAGATGAGTAACTGCTGGTGAGATGGAAGACACATTTTTCTAATCCATTAGTTGGTGCCATTGATTTGTTGGCCTAAACCGTTCAGCTATGAGCTGTTTCATTTTAAAACTCAGCAAGTCATGATGGGTATGGAAATCCTTAAAAATACTTATCTTTTCACATGTCTCTAGTAGTTTTTATTTATTTATTGGTAAAAATATCTAATCTTTCATGACTGGAGTGCTTTCATGCTTTCCGTTATGAGAAGAGAAAAAATGGTAATAAAAGAACAAACCAGGAGGTCGGGGTTGTGGCACTAATTGTTTTTCAATGCAACTCAAAACGGCAGTTGATGAAACGTATCTCTTTGCTCTGGGAGAGATAATTGAATATTGATGAATCTGGTCTTTTTATGGTTTTACTTTGCACAGCAGGGAGCACTCATTAGACTTTGTTGTGACTGATGAAAGCAGCTAATGTTACTCTCTGACTGTGAGCAGTTTAATTGCTGTCTGATTGCATTGCGGGCTTTACACTACTGACCGTGATGGAAACCAGACAATGGGGGTGACAGGAAATGGATTGCTGAATTGGGCTGTTGACGATCTCTGAATTTTGATTGCCCATTAAGTTCATCTTTTTATTTCTTAATAAATAAAAAAAAAATCTGAACTGTCAGTAATTTGGTCTCAAACTGACGGACCAATAAAAGTGTCCATTTTCTGCTCAGTCGTAAGGACTGACTGTAGGCAAGCGGGGTGGCAGTTTATGAGGAAGGTATAAAGCAGCTTTATCCGTTCAGTGCTAAAGTGCATTTCAGCACGATAATGAATGTGTCGTTAGTGTGTGAATGTTTTTATGAGCGAAAATTATCTCTGTATTTACAGCCTAAAAGGGCTGCAAGATGGGATTACAGTGACTCATGGGGTAAAATGCTTCGAATGGTTTAAAAAGTCCCCTTAACAAAACAATATTGTTAAACTTTTGAAAGTGAGAATCTTTTAGAAGTTTTTAGGTTTCTGTTTTATTCTTTATTTTTGCATAAATAAGATTAAAAGGGTATTCTCAAGAACACATTTTGTTGAGTCATGGATTTTAGCTCACAATAACAATTGCTTATTGTTATTGTGACCATTATTAATAATATGATGTGCTGCTAAATGTATCAACAATATAAGACTATAGAGTTGTATCATCACTACAATAGCATTCAGCATGAACTTGCCTACTGAGGGCTGTGTTTTATTACACAAGGCATGTGTCTGGACTTCACATCACTCAGTTCAGTACCCTTATATTTACTGGGGAGCTGCGGTAGTATTACATGTCTTAATTTGTCTTTGGATTGTACTGCTGTGAGAGGTCTTCCCTTTGAAATGTGGGGATCTATCAGGTGCCGACACTGCCAGGTTCTGTTACCTGTGGAGAATGAAGGGCCTGAGTTAAGATCTCAGCTGGATTTTTTTTTTTTTCTGTGGAGTTTGTATGTTCTCCCTGCAGGTACATTGGGTTTTCTCCCAGTAATATGTTAATTCTCTGTCTCTAGTTGGTAGATGTGTGTCTGTGTGATGTCTGCCCTGCATAGCTCTACGTTGCCCTCCGATGGACTGGTGACCTGTACAGTGTTTATGCCCCACCTCTGAACCAATAACCACTGGAGATGGGCACCAGACCTCCTGCGACCCTCCCAGGATTAAATGTCTAGAGAAGCTACTGGAGATGGATGTTTTGATATATATTTTTTCTCTTACTGAAGTTGTCTCCTGTTATAGAGTTTTGATGTGAGAATGAGCCTGATGTTCCTTGATCATTCTGTAGCCATCATGGTTTTAGTAGAGGCACTTGTTGTGTGGCATTTAAGGCACTAGAAACAGCAGGTCGGCTCCAGACAGATTAGGATGGATTTTCTAGGTTTTGAATTCTCTAGAAAAACATTTTGTGATGTTATGTTGTCTGAGATACTTCTGTCTATAAGAGTTTAAGAACCAATGACTTGTTTGCTTTGAAAGTGCATTTAGTGTCCTGCTTTGATTCTTTAGTCAGAAACTCGCTATGAAATAAAATGTAAAACTGGTGGCATTTTCTCACATACACCAACATTATAAATGCATCCTTATATTAAGCGGGAGGGGACATCGTCCTTGCTTTATTTATTTTTTTTCCCGAAAGGAATTTGAAGATTTATTAACTCGCACTTCAAGACAGACCTCCACTTTAAGTCAATTTATTTTTAATCAACTGAAATACAGAGAAGCTTTATGTGCATCTACTTCCAAGGATCCATTTATTATAAATTAGCCTAATCTTCTATGCTGTCCTTCTCATGCATATTGTCTTTGCAGCACATTGAAGCTCAGATTTTTATTTTTACCAGTATTTCTGACTGGCTATCACACTCAAATGTGTTTTGTTTTGTTTGTTTGTTTTTTTTGTTTTTTTTTATCTTTAGAAAAAAGTCAAGCATAGAGGAAAATAACCTTTTTGTTGAAACATGCATTCTCTTTCAAACATCAGTGGCTAACAAAAGGGGGGAAATCAGTAAAATCTTGCATCTAGCTTTGTAAATGTAATTCCTTCAGATGTATTTTGTAGTTTGTCAGCTTGAATCTGTTTTGTTGCATGTTATTTGTTTCTGTTACACCAGTTTGTTTTTATCATTTATGTCTTCTCTCCTCATCTTTTTACCGCTGATTTCTTCTCTCTCAGACTTTGAGACCTCTGTGGACAGTCGGTGCACTACGGACAGTGCAGACAGTGCCTTTTTTGGCCGCCGCTACTGAGACCTGGCTTCTTCCTTTATTACCATTTCTCTTTCCAAATCATCCTATTCCCTACCCTTTCACCCAAGAAGTAAGATAACTAATAGACTGACAGGACACAAGAGACTTTATATTTCCAAAAATTGTTTTATATTTTTTCACAACAATTTTGTGAGACTCTTTGCAATACATGTAAATTTTTTTTCTCACCTGATCAAGGACACAAAAGAAAAGTGCAGGGTTTTCCTTTTGGTTGCATTTCTTTTGAATTTTAGTACTGCTACTTGGACTCTTTATGCTTAACTATGCAGTCATGTATTTCTGTGAGTCTAGTTTGGTAAATTTTCATCAGTAGCTCCTCATTAACATCCCATACTTGGATGCCTTGTGGTTTGCATGCTGCATGTTTTATTTATTTATTTTTTTATTGTTGTTGTTCATTGTGTATTCAAGTTTGCATGTTATGCATCTTTTATCTGAAACTGCAGTCTCCAGATACCTAATTTATCTCTTTGTGTATTTAAATCGGTGCACAATGATGTTGCACTTTCCAAAATGGGACAGAATTAAAGACAGCAAAGGTCTAATTTATACATAAAATATTTTATTTACATGAGATGCTTTTCCAGTCTTCTTATTTTATACTAACCCTCTGAAATAAAATAACTTCTCATTGAATTAGTATTTAAATGTGCAAGTTTGTCACGGTTAGTCTTGCTTGCATACGGTTATACAGAATTTTGAACTTCCATGGAAACATCATTGGTATTCTGGCCATGGTGGAGCCAATGCTTTCGGTTGCAAAGCGTCGCATAAAATTGTGTGCCTTTCCAGAAGTCACTGTAAAGCATGTTAACATCTGATATAAAGAACCTGTGAAGCTGTTTCCGCTGAAAACCAAATTATTTGACTTGCTAGCGACACACCACTACAATACAAAATCTCAGGCCACAGCTTACTGAAGTGGTTGCCTTTCTCAAAATAACCGCAGTACACACATTTTATCAAACGGTTCTGAAAGGAGGGATAACTTGAGAATATGGGATGAATCTGCGCCTGACTAACATTCCTGCGACAGGCTGGTTTTTCAGGGTAATAGTCGAGACGCCTCAGATGAGGAAAAAAAAAATCTGTAAAATAAATGTGCATGGCGTTCACAAAGCTGTATGGCTTCAAAGTGTTTAAAAATGCTGCATTTCACAATGCAAGTTGGTGTTTAATGTTTCTGATGTTTCTCTGCAGGTTTCCCAACTGTATCTCGAAATAGAGACACGTATCAGTCCATCGACCAGCAGGATGAATCTTCAGGTCCAACAAATCCCTTCAACCAGGCCCCAGACACCAAACCAGGAGTCCGCACTTATTGAGAAAAGTACATGATTGAAAATGCAGTCTGTTTTTTGTTTCTCACTTTTTATATGCAGAGTTATAAAGGCCTTTAAGATCAATTTAAAATAGTATTGCGGGGTCACTGAGCTAAGCCAATTGAAATAATCTGTTTGGGTTTTATAGTAAAATATGCCCATTACATTTTAGCTGAGGTTCTGAAAGATTTCTGCTTCAGTGCCACTGAAGAAAATAATCAGACGACACGCCATGGTTTACAGTAATCCTTTGAAGCTGGTCTCTGATTCTTTTAGCAGAACACTGTTGGATAAATAAGTAACTTTTTGACTTGCAGTCAAGTTTTCTGAAGCTTGAAAACATGTCAAAAACAAAAAATATATAGGATTATATAGACACTTTTAAAAAAAGTGTCTATATATTTTTTTTAATGTACATTCAAGACTTGATACCAATACTGAATTGAAATAAGTTTTCATATAGATGAGTCGGATATTAATTTCTTCACAGATTGGTACAGTTTTGTTTGTGTATGTTACCAAGAAAATCACCACTATGTCTATTGTGAAAATGACCAAATATCGTCTGTATGATGGTTCTAACGCGTTCATTTTAAACACCGAGCCGACTTAATAATAGTCTCATTGATCTTTCACTTATTCCCTTAAAAGTGAAGAGTTTCTAACCTGCTTTCAAAAATGCCGTCATGAAACGGCACTTCATCTTAGAATACCAATTACTCGCAGACCTCCTACTGTGAAGTATCTCATAAATGCTGAAGGGTTATGTGAATTTCCCCACAAATATAGTCATATAGACTCATGCTCAAGAAATTATTTTTTTTTCCCCTCATTGAAAATGTTTTATGCACTGTGGATTGCATTTATTTATATATTTTTTTCAGTTTTCATGTCTGTCAGAGGTTTTCCTGTTGTAGACCTTACATCTGCCTCAGAATGGGGACGTTGTAACTCTGCTGATCACGTTTCTGGTGTGTGAAACTGTCAGTCCTCAGCTAAACTGGGTCAAACCTTCTTAACATGTTTGTATACAGTAAGTGCCGTATCTGTGTGAACATACTTCATCACAACATTTCAACCATATCTAAACACACAAATATTTAGCTCACTTGTTTACTTCTATATCCAGTTTTACCCGATGCAGTGCTGTGAAAAAATGTTAACTTCTTCTGTTTTACCTGTCACACCTACATGTTTTAAATCATGAAACATGTGAGATAAAGTATTATAATGATAGACGATGACCTCAACTGAGGCAGATGACGGCAGCGCTTTAAACATTCTTGGTTATTTTTATGCTGCATGGGTGAGTAACTGATGAACCCTTGGAGTAACTTTAGTAGAGCAGCCATGAGGGAAAAGCTCAGCACTTGTTCCTGTTTTCTCAATTTGTGGATCATTGCTTTTGATGTGGTTTGCTTTGTGAAACCTTAAAAATGGTTTTATTACCAGACAGATGGATGTTGGTAATATTGTTTGAAATCTTTTGGTCTGCTTCAGGTTTTTATACAATTTGAACCAAGTTTATTTGGATACCATTTTCTTTAAATGAAATTATAAAATATTTAAGTGTGACATTGAGAGAAAAACAGAGAAAATCTTTAAAGACCTAGTTCTTTTTACAACATGGCAATGTTTAGTCTGCAATTTACAGAACAAAATGTACCTGCTGGATTCCTTAACATTTTGTTTTGTAACACACTGTTAATTTATTGCACCATGATTATTTTTCTCTGTATCTGTGCTCTGACTGAATATTTTGCCTAAAATTGATCACATTGGTTTTGTTAGTTTATTTTGATTTCTCAAAATAAAACAATTTAGCCATTTTCATTTAAAACGTAAATAACAAAGTACAATGTATATCATCTCAAATGAATTTTCAGCTGCTGTGATTTAGATCTCTGTTTGGAGTTTAGTCACAGTTGGCATTTTCTGACTGAAGCGAGTTGCATCTTGGCAAATGCTTGACTCATTTTTTTTTTTTCCTTTGTCGCATTTCTGTTTCCCCCTCACCCTGCTGCTCTCAGAAACCTTTTTGTTGTTTGCCTTTTTATTTATACTGCCAGACAGCAAGCACATTTATCGGTGTGTTTTTGTTGTGGTAAATGCTTTTCACACTCTATTGTCTCCTATGAGAACTAGAACACCTTCACTCTGAAGTAATTTTCTTTTCAAAGCTATTCTGAAGCTCACACAGCTGGCATAGAAATAATGGCAATACTGAAGGGAATTATAAGAAGCATGGATTTATTGTTCACAGAATTTGAATGTGGAAATTTGACCAATGATGTAGCTTCACATTCATTACACCTCTAAAAAAGAAGTAAGAATTCCTCAATTGATTACAAGATTCAGTGTCCGTCGACTGTAACGTTACCCTAAAGATTTTTTTGTTTGCCTGATTTTCTGTATTAGGTTTGGAAACTCTCTGGGTTTATGGGTAAGAATCTTGTCGCCTGTTTGTAAATTGCTCCTTGCTTGTGGGCCTCCTGGGGAAGCATGGATAGAGGACAAAGTACTGGGTGCCAGTCCTCAACAGCTCTATAAGTAACAAACACACTCTTTGCTCTCCTTCTGTTTTACTCTTACTAACTCGCCTGCATAAGAGTAAACCTACAAAACTTCCTCAGATGTCAAAAATGCGCGAAAGAAAAATAGGAGTTTAGTCTTGTTTAGCTTAGTTGCTTTAATAACAGCCTTCAGTCTTCATCTAAAATTGACTCTGGTATCTATTATGTTCCTCTTCATTGTAGTCCACAGATTTTGTGGTTTGAATCGGGTGAGGTGAAACTAGATTGTTGAAAAACAGACATTTTTTCATTATCTATTTTATCAAGACGTAACTAATATTCCCATCATAGCCAGAATATTCCACAAGCATCAATAAATATAACAGTTGACGGCACAGCTTTTACTGGATGTTTATTCTGATGCCATCAGAAGCTCCACGATTACAATTACCTGTAAAACAATTATTACCATCTTACTCTTGAAACTAAAATGCAGGAGGCCATTTGAGTTCCTCTCTTTTCCATTGTGTAATTAATAGGCAGCCAATGTTAATGACTCATTTGTGCAAAGATCGATGCCGTGGCTCTGAAGCGGCGCTGAAGAGAGAAGACGGAGGTTGAAGGTGGACAGGAGCAGCGAGGGAACGGGAGGAGGGGAGGTACAGGCGGCAGCTCAACAAGCTGTTGATTAATAAGGAGCTGCTGGGCTGCCTCTCCTGAGCATGCATGCATATGTGCACAACTCTGACACCTCCTCAGGCTCGCACCTGTGATTCCTCTGAGTCAAGGACACGTTCACTCAGTGCAGCAATAGGAACTCAATTTGTCAGCTTTGTTATTGCATTAGCGATGATGATCTCTGGAGAGGGTTGAGCGAATGATGGAGTTGGCTTCAGGTGTGCCAACTTTCTACACACATCTAGGACGCACATATTCATAAGTGCGTCTCCTAATGTAATTTTTATTTATCCCTAAATTTCATTATATTTTCGGTGTCCGCAAAGAAAATCCACCACATATGAGCCAAGAGGCTTGACTGTGGCATTTTAAAATAATAGTAAATAATTGTTCACCTTATAGACAGTTTTCCCCAAGTTGCTTGTCACATTCTTTTCAAACTGATCGGAACAACAATCAGGATCTCAGTCTAATTCACAATTTATGGCCCCCGTTGTCCCGTCAGCAGTTTTATCTGCAGCTGTTTTTGATTCTAAAATAACAAGAACTTGGTAAAAAAAAAAAAAAAGAAAAGCATGAAGCTCCCAAGATACTGCTGCATATTTAAATATTATAAATAGATTCATGCGCCTCGTGAATCCAAATATGACAAAAGATTTTTAGGAATATTTGAAAGTGTAGCCAGAAATTGTTATTGTGAAAATGTGACACTAAGAGCAGCTCCAAGGTTTATACAACATGGCTGTCATTTTTCTTTTTAAATGTTTGGAAATTGTTTCAAGGTCAAACAAAGAAGAATATTTCAGGCAGATTGTAAGATTTTGATCCAGCATGTGACAAAGTGTCTTCGTTTGCATGGTTTATTACAAGAAGTAATCATGCTTAGAACTCACAAAGATGGGTGAAAAACTATTCACATGTGAAATTGATTTGTTGATGACATTTTTATGCCTCAAGCGTCTTGACTTCCCAAACAGGACACATCCAACCTTGACCTTTTTCACACCAAACCCTTGGTCATCTGCCATCAGCAATAATGGCATCGATATTGATTCAAACTAACTCTTCAGTTTTCAATTTCCAGTGGAGAGGGAGGTCAACAGCTCTCCCACTATTTGGAAGGAACAGATTGGTTTTATTTGTCAGCAAACAAGAAGAAACTAAGTAAATAAAAAGAAACAGACTTTTAGTCTATCAGTTGAGGCAGAGAGAAAATGGCTTTAAAATATAAATTAGTGGGCTATCCGTCATTCCGAATAGTTAAATTTTCTCAACACAAAACATGCCTTTGTATAATTTGGATTTGAAGACCCTTGTGTCATCCCGAATTTAGCTGTTTGAAACCTGTAACAGATACTGTGTATTGGTAAATTCAACCAGCTGCTTCATAATGTCCTATTTATTTTACTTCTGAGAAAAGTTAGCTTTTAATTCTTATTAAAAAAAAATGCACAAACTTGAATAACATGAACCATTGGAGCATCTCAAACTAGTTTCTTGAACACAACACTGAGCTTATTGTACTGTATTGGTTTCCACGCTCATCTCAGAGTCCATGTTGGATATGATGGACATGTAGCAAAAACAACAGCTTGAACTGTGACACAATCATAGACAAAAATCTCTGAGAAATGTTTCCAACATCTTGTCGAATTTAAATTGCAAAGATTTTTCGGCAATTGGGAAAAGAGGGTCCAGCCGGATGCTATTGAGGTGTGCCTAATGAATTGGCCAGTGATGGTATTTTTAACACGCAAACAAGAAATTGCTCTTTGAAAATGTACCAACAACTCATGAATGTATTGGCCTCGCTTTTTAATTTTAGAAAAAGAGCCAATAGGAAGTTACCTGGCCCCATGCAGGGAAACGAGCTTCTGCTGAGAAAACAGTTTTATTACACCGGTAGGGAACTGGACGTTTTCTCCTAATTTAACAATTTATGCAAACTGATTTTTAAAGACATCATACTGTTTGTACTCTGAGATGCCTTTTTTAACGACCCACAAAACACGAAACACAGGTTTAATAAATGTGATTCAGGACCCAGAACAACCCTTTCTGGAATGGATCTTATTATTTTATAGTATATAAAAGATTCATTTAACTGATAAAAATATAAAAAGATCTAAAAATACATCTATCACCAGCCAGAAAAGCTTAAGGATAATTAGAGTTCTGTATGCAGCATATTTATATTGCCATTATAGTTATATAACAGTTGCAGTTTTTTCTTAATTTGCTGTATTTATTTTAATTGTATTCCTTTCAGAGCTTTACTTTTATGCTTTCAGTGACCCATTTTTTGCATGCAGCTCATTAAACTTTTATTTTCCCATCATATTCTTATTATTCTCTACTACTTTTGTTTCTTTTTTTCCTCTTTCTTTCTCATCACGATGGCCGGGCAGCGTCTCTTCCACTACCTGCTTTTCAGAGAGAATTGGGCAGTTTTTGTCCAGCTGTTACAGAAATGAGAGCCATGCACTGCAAATGCCTTTCAAAATAAATCTTTCTGAGGAGTGAAGCAGCTTTCATGGTTTTTGTTTCCGCCCCTGCACACAGTGGGTGAGGAAGCAGAGACTTGGAGAAGGGGAGAATAATGAACCGCCAACATGAGGCTGGTAGTTCGATGAGTGCACATGATGAATGACCATGGGGAGGGAGTAAAGGACCAGAGCACAAGCACAGCCATTTGTTACTCCGGTGTCACAAATGTATTTTTAATGAATCTGCACCTCTGGCTCCTCTGCAGAGCACTGCTGTTCCTTAAGGCCAGTGTGACCCCAATATTTCCAGGGAAGTGAACAAGCCCACTTTTACGCTGGCTGTGCAATGTAAATAGCATTCTCCTCCTGTTTGCTGAGGCCATCAGTCTACTTCCTCATTATTATCCATACATACCTGCACCGAGAATAGGGGCCACCCTGGCTTTCTGTGCCCCTGGCAGCTGTGGAGAAATTTCACCTTGAATTACTGTTTTGTGCTAAGTTGCAGATCTATTAGCCAGATATACCGCCACCGCAATCGGTGGAGCAAGGTGGGAAAATGTTGTTTCCAGAAATTAGAATGGAGATAAGATAATTTGATGAATTTATTATTTATCTCTTTAATTCTCAAAAACCTTTAAATGATTTTAGCATGTTTGTTTTTGACTATCTGGCAATATACAGGGCTGAAATCAGGGTCAAATTAGCATAGAAGTCATTTGACATGGAACCAAATTAGCACTGTCAAGCTGGAGGGTGTGTAGTTTAGGAACGCCCTCGGATCACCCAGGGCGATGATGTGATTGGGGAGAGAGATGTCTGGGGTTCGCTCTTAGATTTGTTGTGGTTATCTGTGGAACACAATTGATTAATGAAACAAAACCCACTGAATGAAACAATTGCTGGACTATATACCAAATGTCTGGCACACTATAAAGTTGGTAAGATGTCAAAATTGAGATTTTAGACACCGGAACAAAAAGAGAGCTCACTATATAGCATATTGCAAAATATAGTGTTTGACGTGTGAGTCTGAAAACAGTGCTAGTTCTGCAGTAGCTTTTAAAGAGGCATCATTTGAATCCAGTTGTGTTGAGCAAGCAGAAATCTAAAACATGCACAGTGAAGTGGGGCTACATTTTATTTAAGACTGCTGATGAATCATCCGAACACCGAGATGTGTGAAACACTTGAGAGGGAGATCAAATAGATTTCACACAGAATATTGTGATATCTTGATCAGCAGGATGATAGAAGATAAAAAATATGTTCGGGGGGGAGTGGGGGGGAGAAATAAAACTGGTAAAGAATCTTGTTCTGTGTGTAACGTTTTCAGTCGCACTATTAACCTTTTCCATGTAGCAACTGCATGCCAAAAAGTGTCAACATGTTGCTTTATTTTATAGGTCGCAGGGCAAGATTCAAATGACACGTCTAATATGCCACAATCAACATACAACTTCATTTGCAATAATGTGCAGTCACAGGTTTTCCAACAGTCTTTGAGGAAATTAAACTGACCTGTCATCCGTGATTCACCACAACCCATCATGAAAGTGACTTATGCAATGAATACATTGTGCAAAAAGCAAACCCATACAACTCTACACTTCACATTAACATTTTAGAAACACAACATGAAAAAATAATCCTGAGAGGTCAGATTTTAGTCTCTATCTCTCTCTCTTTCAATAAGGTGGCTCATTAATCTAAATAAAGTAATTTTCTGCAGCGCTGTCATCTTTGCTCTCTATGAAGAAAGAAGACTGTCAACATCGGACTCAAACAACT